ACTAAGGGATTACGGGTGCGTTGAAACTGACAGAGGAGTCGTCTCTTTTGTTAAATTTTATCGACAATTTATTGAGGTAGAGGTGGTTTGCTGGGGTTGATAACAGTATTGGGGACTGATATCTTAATTGCTTGATTTATCAGTCCGGTAATAACCGTGATACCTTCGTCGATATCATCAGGCTGTGTTAAGTTGCTTAACTGAGGAGTGTTGACTGATAAAAAGGTTTTGAAGAGGTCCCAGCTGGCGTGTTTGTAGTCTCTTATTCTTTTGGGAGGATTGGGAGGTAAGGGATTAAATATCTGTTCTGTGATCCGACATGATCCAGTCGCCTATCAAGCATTCGTCATTTAAATCACCACAGAATCCGTCAAGGAATTTTATAGGTCTGTTCCAACTCGTCCAGAAACCGTACAATGTACTGTAACACTTGTGCGCAATAGATACAATGCGTTCCAACTGAAAATGGACCGTTCCATTGTACCGTCCCTTTGGCGTTCCAGCTCAACTTATGATCGTTCAATGTACGGTTTCGGTCATTTTAGTAAAATCTATTACCGTTTGGACTGACCTGCGCATTAAGCGGTAATAGCAAAATTCTCTAGTTTAGTTGATCGTTTTATTTTGATTTTTAAGTGAAGTTTAGTGTTTCAGCACTATTTTTTATATTTATTGTTAACGTTACACATATTAAATTTTCAAAAAGTTACAACAGTGAAAATAGATCTTTTTTGACTAATTTAAAATATTAATTTTTTCCTCCAATTCGATTATTTTTTGCTTAAATTATATGGTTTTTTCTTTCAATTAGGATCATTTTTTATTTTGATTTGTTGAAGTTTTTCTCCTTCTAATCGGTCATTATAATAACTCACTCAATTCTAATTCTGATTGTGTGTTTGGTGTTGATATAGATTTTTATTTCCAAAATTTCACCAATTGTCTTCTCACACTAAAAACTTGTTGACGGCCTCTACCTACAATTGTGCACAATATTATAAAATATAAATCTTCATATTCAATAACAAACTTGATCGTTATATTTTGATTTACCACAAATTTATTTTAATTCCTTTCAAGCACCCTCCAACAATTTAAACAATTATTGCGTATTACTTTGAGGTACTATTATTATTTAAATGTTAGGCTATTTTTAGCTAAAGTACTTTGGTATTTTTTATTTCCAAAGTATTAAGTTTACGTTTGTATTTGATATATTAATCTAATAATAATATGTTGTTGCATACACTTGTATTAAATTTATGTTTCTGAGTTTCGTGTGCAACTGAATCATTATAACTCGATCAGATACCTGGCATGCAGCGCTAACAAATTTGTTAATCTTGCTTGACAGTATGAATCCTAACCATTATGATAATAGGTGCTGTCTTCTCCTGAATAATACACTTAATGATTATACAGATTGGATTGGTCAGATCAAGGCCACCTCATTTATTCGGGATTTGTATAAACCGTGTGCCTATTCTATAACTCATTTGGATATCAAATTTGGTCAATCGGTTTCTCCTCGCACTTCTGCCACATTTAAGAGGCGACCGTACTCGGGGACATTTTAGTCCCTCAGCCGGGATGAGAATCGTGAGAAAAATAGTGTAGTAGTCATTCCCTTGGCTTTCTACAAAGCTGTGTACAAGCTATTTAGGTGGTATGTACCCACCGCAACGGGTCCTATTATGTATTGACGTTCTGGACTACATGACTTCCACTCAACACAAATACTGAAAAACTAGCTGCTGATTTTCAGGTTTGTTTTTATACAAACAATAACACCAGGGGACTGGTTCATTATGTAACCTCAATACAAATTGAGCAGTTTTTTGATTTGATAATATTAAGAAATTCCATTCCTAATGATACCTGCACATAGGGAGATGTTAGCCATAGCTACTATTAATGAGTACATGAGATTAATATGTTCTAAAAATTCTTGAATTAATTAACATTAATTCACAGCCTCCATAGTTTTACAGTGTTTCAACAATCTGAAGATCATACTGTCGTACCAACGTAATCTAAAACTCATACATTGAGCGGATAAGGCGTGCCTAAATAAGGCTAAGTACACAAATCAGCCACCAACCCATTGTCCTGCAATTGTAAAGAGTCAAAAAGGAAAGTAGAAATGTGTTCCCGAAATCGATTTACCTTTATAACCGCAAGCTGAATATTCCATATGGAATAAAGATACTTAAAATTTTTTGTGTCCTCCATACTATTACAGTAAGCTGGCTGTTTTGTTTAATCTGCACTATCAAAAAAAATCGTGTTATTTGAGAATGATATAGAAAAAAATGTATCACATGTAATTGATAGATAAGATATCAGAAATACAACAGTACTACAAACATTAAACACAAAAAAAAAAACGAAATATTGTAAAAATAGTGGCTAGCGCAAAATAAAAAAATCGAATACTGTGAAATAGAATACAACAAAAACAGGAAAACAGCCCAAAGCATTGAGGAAACTCATTTTAGAAAAAAAAAACTTAGTTTAGAAACCAACAAACAAAAAAGTATCTCACAAAATGATATGATAAAAGAATTTAATTCTGACTGGTTATCTAAAATAAAAGCAGATGGTAAATTAACTGTAAGAATACCATTAAATACAGGAATAGGACAAGGAATCAGACAGGAATAAGACAAATCAGCTTCCATTCATAAGTATTTCATTCATTTTTAACTTGGTAATGGAAAAACTAATAGAGCATATTAGCAAACTAATATAACTCTTCTAACTCACTTTTAAATTCCTAAGGAAGTCCAATCTCGTTCATTCCACGGCGGTTGCTCAAAGCGAGTAAATCACCTAGATGATGCATCAAAATTTCCTTAGAGCAAAGCGTCATTATTAGAACTGATATAGATGTACCCATGTTACGTACTTGGGCTATCTATTTTATCAACACCGTCCCTATTCCTTAGTAAGAGGTTTTTGTTTTGTTCATGACAGAAGAGCTTTTTGACATTAATGCAAATTTTTGTTCTAAAATCTGTCGCACTTTCGATTCACCGATAATGTACTGAAGGCACATAGTAGAATCACAGTTTCCAATTGTACTTATGGGTTTTGATTAATTGTCAACACTGTTTGCTTAAAATAAAAGAATACCTTACGACACACTATCAACTCAATGAATTGCGAACTAAGACCGAGTTACAACACGAGCACGTTAGCAATCCGGAAAAGTAGCCGGAATCTCGTGTTAATCATGAATTTTCGGGAATATGTAACTCTTGATCATTAGCGACGCGTAAGAAAATATGTTTCTTTGTAGGTCTCTTTACAAACAAAAAAAAAAAGATGTAAATGGGGTAGAAACAAACGTTAAAGATGACATCATAAATATAATCCACCCTTTCTACTCAGAATTATATGAAACAAAAAAGGAACCACCAGAAGAAATTAAAAACCAACTTAAGGTTAAAATAAAAAATGTCAACTCAGAGCTACAGCCAGAAATTAGCAAATCAGAAATAAAGGCATTGAAATCAGTAACCATAATCCTACACAAGAAAGGGAGTAAAGCAGATATAAAAAACTACCGTCCTATAACACTCCTGAATGTAATGTATAAACTCCTAACAAAAATTTTAACCAATAGATTGACGACAAAATTCGACGGATACCAGTCGAAAGAACAAGCTGGTTTTAGAAAGGGATTCAGCACAAGTGACCATTTACTAAGTATGAAAATACTTATAGAACGAGCAAATGAATACCACATTCCTCTATATATGGCGTTCCTAGATTTCGAAAAGGCTTTCGACAGTGTCGAACATTGGGCAGTGAAAAGTTCTTTGATTAACAGCAGAATTGACCACAGATATACGGAACTAATAGCCAATATATATAAGGAAGCCAAAACAACAATTAAAGTATATGAAGGAACAAAATCAATACAAATAAATAAAGGCGTGAGACAGGGTGACACAATATCACCGAAACTTTTCAATCAGGCTCTAGAAGATACTTTTAAAAGATTAGAATGGAAAGAAAAAGATATAAAAATTTGTGGACAACGCTTGAACCATCTAAGGTACGCTGATGACATCGTATTGACAACCGATAAAAAAGAAGAATTATTTGAAATGATAAAAGAACTGGACGTAGAAGCTGGAAAGATAGGCCTTAACTACAGCAAGACCAAAACCATAACAAATACAGATGAAGACATCACAATGAGAATCGGGCAAGATGAAATAGAACAAGTTCAGGATATATATATATATATATATATATATATATATATATATATATATATATATATATATATATCTGGGCCAAACTATAAAACTTAACAAAGAGAACCAAACAGGAGTTGAAAACATGAGTTAGACTGGCATGGGCGGCATTTGAACATTCTTAAAAACAAAAGATATCCACAGCATCTTAAGACCAAAGTATACAATCAATGCATACTCCCTGTTCTTACTTATGATTCCCAAACGTGGACATTTACAAAACCAAACATGGACAAAATCATAAAAACTCAAAGAGCAATGGAAAGACAAATGTGGCACATAAGACTAATGGATAAAAAGAGAAACGAGTGGATAAGAGAGAAAACAAAAGTGAGGGAAGTTAGACAAGAAGTTGCACAATTGAAATGGAGATTTGCCGGACACAATATAAGACAAAAAGAAGACCGATGGAACAAAATTCTATAAGTTGGAGACCGTGGGAATATAAATGAAGCAGAGGAAGGCCCCAAATGAGATGGGCAGATGATATCAAGAAGTACGTGGGCTCTAGGTGGATGACTGTAGCGACAGACAGAGAAGAATGGAAAAGGATGGGGAGGCCTATGTCCAAAGATGGACTGAAGAAGGCTAATTAGATATAAGAGGTCTCTTTACACTCTAATAATGGAATACTATATTTCTGCTTATAATATTAAAAATAATAATTACTGGACTATCATTGTTGTTTATAATAATTATATACTCTTATTTATAATTCCTTTTTATTTTTAGTGGCCCTATTGTGATGGTAGTCACAACAGTCACAACAAAGAACAAGGCGACAACGTTGGTCCACTAATTGTCAGCAAGAAGAAGTAACCGGTATACACGTTTACAAGTTCAGTTTGTGTAGTAGAAATACCATGTGGTATGTTGTTTATTAAGTCCATATTGATTGTTGATTTTATAACATTATTTCCAATAAATTAATAAATATTATTAAGTTCATTTTATGTTTTTTATTTGAACAAAAGAAACAAGCAACAGCTGCTGGGTATATCAGCCGGAAGATATTTGCAAACAGTAAGTTATTTTTAGCTTTTATCTATACATATCTTCTTCTTTCTGTGCTCATGCCCGATTATTTTGCGTTGCCTATCAAATTGCCTTATATTATTTTGTTAACGGCGTCTCGGAAAAGAGATATCCGTCTATCTTGCCCTGTATTATTAAATGGAGTATCTCACAACTTTCCGGGTGACGCATAACAAGGCCGAAATATACCAGTTTGTGATTTGTAACTATTCTGACCACTTTCATTACTTTTCCCATCTACTGCAAAACAACTTCGTTACAAACTCTATCTACCCAACTTATTTGTAGGGTTATCCGATACACCCAGATTTGAAAGGCTTTCAGATTTCTGAGAAGTGTATCCGTCAAGATCTAGCCTTCGACGAGATATAAACAAGTAGAGAATACAAACCAAACAAAACAAAGGGCTACTACATATTTCCACACAAGATTTTTTTCATCAAAATGCAGTTCTTGCCTTCCCTATACTTATTCTAATATCTTTGCCCATATCCCAGTTCTCATTTAGATTACAACTAAGGTAATACTGATGTCTCGGATTATTCTGCATAAGCTATTAGAGTTAATGGATTTTGGGAACAGCTATGACCTTGAAAATGCCACAAAGAATATAACTAAATCTCTTTTCTTACTCAGACTCTTTAAAGTCTTTTACAATATTTTAGAATCGAAGATATGTAATTATATTATTAATGTATTGGATTTTGACAAGAGCTATGCATTATGCCTATTTAGTACACAAGTTTATGTGAAATGTTCAAGGTCATAGCTGTTCCCAAAATCCATTACCTCTACCACTTCTGGTGTTATCTTGGTGTTTTACTGACAACCATCACCTTTGTGTTTAGCTTCAGTCCATATTTATTACACGTTGTGGTAATCCTATGTATCAGATAATGAAGTTTTTCGTAACTACTTGCAATTAATATCTTGTCATCTTCGTCCATCAAATTATTAATATTGACGCTATTAATTTTGATACCACATTGGACGTGATATAATGCTTGATTGAAGACGAACTCAGAATCGATGTTAAATATTAGTGGGGACAAATTTCAGTTGTTTTACTCCTCTTCGTATTTACACTTCTTCAGAATTATTCCGGCCAATCCTGATGTTTGCACGTTGATGCCAGTAAAGATTTTTAATGACACGTAGGTCTTTATTATCAATAGCTACCTGCTGAAGAATGGCTATTATTTTAGTATGTTTTACGCGATCAAAGGCCTTCTCAAGGTCAATAAAGCAGATATAAACCGCATAGCCGACATCTCTGCATCTATATACCTTAACTTAAATACTAAATAGTGATTCTCTGGTTCCAAGGTTATTGTGGAACCCGAACTGTGTGTCATGAAGTTGTTGTTCTATTTTTTGATGTATTATAAGTGCAAAATTGATCCACTCATTTATCAATTGTCACTACATCTTTACGCATTTGCTTTTTTTGGTATCTGTACAAAAATCGACAGCAGCCTATCCGTTGTTATATGGTCGTCTCATAAACGTTGTTAAGATGTAGGAGAGATCTTTTACCTAAACTTTCCAAAAGCTTCATTATTTCACTCGATATTTCATCTGTAGCATAAATGTAAGAGGGCCAGAATTAGGAGATTTAACCGGGGGTGGGGCAAAGATCAGTTTGCCGCCTCCTTTCCTGATCAACACCACACCCTGTAATTAAAATTACACACCGTATGAATATGATTAAGAAGTTTATTTGTGGAAAGCACGTATATTAATACAGTTATATATTTTTACTTCTACAATTGCTAGAAATTTCTCTTAGGGATAGAATAGAATTAGTCCCGAAAGCCCACGCGACCTTGAAGTAGAGAAGAGGGAAGAGCAGAGCGCTTCAAACGGTTCATCCGACCATTCCAGCGAACCAAGTGAATGCAGCTGTTTAAATGGGCTTGTCTCAAAACAACGTTTTTTTTTACTTTGTGTCACTAGTATTTCAAAACTATTTTACTCTTAGATGTCTCTATGGTCGGCACTACAATGAAAAAAATTCAAATGAAAATCAATGAAAATTTAAGAAAAATCCAATGTCCTCCATTTTGTTTTTTTTTTGTGAAAACGTTTCATTGTAGCACCGACCTAAGTCAATTCTATACAGATTATGAAATCATCTTGTTTTTGCTTTCGGATGATTCGTTTCCAAGAAAAGATGACACCCACCAATAAAATAGACAAGTTTGGACAGTTATTTTCAGAGGCGCCATATTTAAAAAAAAGAAAAAAATTTCAAGTAATTTAATGTATGTATTTTCACCTGTAAAAAGTTTCATTTTCAAATACCTTTTGTACTATACATACAATTTATTTTAAAAACACGCTTTTGGAGGAACCTGGCCATAAACAGACGTGAAACTTTAGAAAAAATAAGTCAAGTAGGTCAAGAACTTTGAAAACTTTTCCAAGATTGTTAAATAAAAAATAAACGATATTCCATCGAAATCAAACTATTTCACTTGGTTACTTCATTACGCTGTTCAATATATTCCTAGATCAAATATTAATCCCCTGAAAAAGAAAATATGAAGAAATACTAATCCGAGACGACTTGTACATATTAAGTTTTGCAGATCGCCAAATGGTAACGTCTCAAGATCAAGATGAAGAAGATTTATCATCCTATATACTCCGAAAACTAGAAGAGGAATACACAAAAATTGACTGGAAATAAACCTACAAAAGAAGGAGTGAACCTTTGTTCAACGTAACAAAAACTAGTTGGGAACTTCTAAATTGACGAAGACAGAGAAATTAACGGCACTGAAAAACTCACAACACTTTACGATTCATTATCTTAAAGAATGGAATCACTGAGCAAGAGATACCACGTGAAGAGAGTATATACCACCTTGTTAAGTACTCGAATGACTTACGAAACAGATAATTGGATAATAAACAACCGAAACAGGTCCAAAATTTCAGCAACCAAATGAAATTCATAAGAAGAACCTGTAGAGTAACTAGACTGGATCGTATCACAAATTAAAAATAAGAATGACAGTAGAATAAGACATACTAAACTACATTGAAGACAAACGTTTAATTTGGTATGGACACGTGAGAGGAGCAGATCGTACAAGGTGGATATCAAATATTTCGGATTGGAGCCCAATCGGAAAGTGAAAAACAGGCAGACCTCGAAGATCATGGAGGAATGAACTGGAGGAGGCGAAGACGAAACAAATAGAGTGTTTTTGATAGTGCAAATTTTGGCGAATGCTAAACTTTTTACAAATTCGACCAAACCGTTGATAAGGAAGTTAATATATCACTGGTTGTATAAAAAAACAGAGAAAATCATTTTATCGACTTGCAAAAAACGTAATAAACTAATACCATTTCATTAATTATAGTTTCGTTCTAGCTATTTATTTACTTTTGCGAGTTATACATATAACTCACGCAATTCAGAATTGGTATTGAAGTATTTTATATCCTAAATAATATTCCATAATATTATCTCTATGATCTATCAATGGTTGAAGAAGTTTTTTGTAATGAATACTAATAATTAGGCAACCAGTTATATCTGCTATATTTGTGTGACATCTAGCATGTAATGTCTAAACTTAAGAAATTAATAAGTATTAGATTCTTATAGAACTTAATCTTTATTATTTATTGTTCAGTGTATGAAAAATAATATTTCTTTTTAAAAATTTACACACTTAGAGAATCTCTGACATCCATGCCAATTAATAACAGTTTTCAATTAATAATACATCAACGTTGGTTGCGCGACATCTATAACAGTTTATTTTGAAAAAAAATTACTCTAGCGCTCTCACCAAAATTTAAACTGCAAAAAACTCTCTCGCACCAAAATTGTAACTGTCATTTTTGTGAATAAATTATTAAATATTAATCTTAAAATTCGAAACTCCAAAATTATTTTTTAAATAATAATACGTGTTTTATATAAAATTTTGATACATGCGATCTACAAATGAATTCTGCATTTTACTATAAATATATTTTATTATCTGTAGTTGATTCACTGAGTTTGGAAACATTTTGAAAAAGTCATTATTGGAAATATCAAATTTCTATAGTCCTGTTATTCACCTTGGGCATATTTTGACAGCTTTATTGTCGAAAACAACACAAAAATTCCTATACCCGGTTCGCTATTCCCAGTCCGAACTGTCTAGTGATTTTAGTAATTATTTTTTTGCGAAGTTAGTTACTTTTTGACAGACTCGAAGTGGCTGGAAATTACTATACAACCAAGCATAGGTGCTCTTAGTCAATATTAATGTAAACAAAAGTAAATAAAATAGAACTTTGCCGACAATCAATATTTATTTATTTACACCGTATAATGTATTGATAACAAATAAAATTATTTATTGTACAAAATAAAAAAAGTGGGAATAAATTCTACAAAATTAAAAAGTCAAAGTGAGGTTAAATAAGACACAACAAGTTCCTTATGTTGTGACTAGGATGGAATCAATGATTAAAGATTAACAGTTCATTGGATAGCATTAACATAAACTGTTGTTTATTATCTTACAAAATAAGTGTACTTCCATATGCTAAAACGCAAATATTAGTAATTTGACTAGGCAAATTCGTGGTTCAATAGTAATTTTTGCTCATTAGCATTTGAGGATGTTAAAATCTTCCACATATGGTTAATGAATTCAGTGTCCTGGCCGCAGATCTGCAGTCATATAAACCCAAACAAACAACAAAAACCTCCATGTAGGTATAAACAAGTTTATATTAAATTAGAAACAACTAATCTAAAAATATTAACT